AAGTCTATATCTCATGCGTGACTTAATATTCACGTCCAAGATTAGATTTTTATGAACCTACAACACATATTACACTGGAATAGGGCAGATATAAGCTTATGGAGACCCTTTGCTCATAAAGTCTCCACCTTGGAACCAAAAACCCTAAAAATGGGTCCATAAAGCACAAATCAACAATGGAAAGGAAAGATTTGAGCTTTTTACCTCCAAATGAAGCTCCAACCTCTGTAGAACTCGGATCTAAGCTTGTCCTCCAACTTCTAGCTCCCACAATGGTCTCCACTTGTCCTTCACCACCACAAAATGGCACTTTCAAACTTAAGAACATACACACAAGATTATAACGGTTTTTTGCTCTCTTAGGGTTTCACTCACTGTAATATGGTGGCTGGGGTAAGGCCCTTATCATTCCTTTTATACTCCTCAAGTCTCATTTAGGGTTTTGCATCTGAGCCAGTTATGCCCAGCGTAACTTTGGTATGCCCAACATACCTAATTGAGTCTGCATCCAATATAAGCACATGAGTATGCGCAGCGTACTCTTCGGTACACCCAGCGTACTCATTTGCAACATTTCACTTAAGGGCTAAACTTGACAACTTGGTAAAGTAGAAGGGTAAAATGGATGTACCTGAATTTTGGGATTTTACATAAAGTTAGCATTATAGGCCCCTTTCTAATTAATGTTCATGTTACTAGGATGTTATGCGACGTTCTTCTACTGTTTCGACGCCTACTAGAAGTAATGACATCTGGTACTCTTAACGCCTTAGCTGATACTGTTGTGAGTTATTGTACATTTTTATGTGTTTTATTTATTATTGTCCGGTACTTTGCAGATGTACCCCTTTAAAAATAAATTTGGTACTTTGTAGATGTACCCCATATATATAACTCTGGTACTTTGTAGATATACCCCATATACATATAAATCATGACATATTGTAGATGCACCATATTATATATATATATATATATATATATATATATATATATATATATATATATATCCTTATACCACTTTTATTATCATCTTTTGTTTAGAAAAATGAGTTAATGATACTTTCCCTTCCTAGGTTACTGGGAATTATTAGTATAAGTGTGTTAATCATGATTTGTTTTTCTGTTTGTAGCATATCGTATGTTCCTTCATGTTTCTCTTTATAGTATGTTCCTCCCTGTCCTAGTTATAGTATGTACTGAACCCCTAAACTATACATATTATAGTTTACTAGTATGCTTGTTTGGAGCTGTTACGGACTTGAATAAAAGACTCATTTATCTACTTAGTTATGATTGTACTTTAAAACCGGTGTTTTGTAAACTATAAAGTAACATAACTTTAAAAGAGATTTTGAAATGTTTTGATCACTTATAAATACATAAGCAATCCTTTAGAAGATGTTTATAACAAAAAATTTACACAATTAACATTGTGTCCAACTTGTATTCCCCCCCCCCCCCTAAAAGCATTTAAAACAGTTTAAAATGTTGATTATAGGGGTATGAACTCACCTTATGTGAGTGATTCAATTGCAGATGCGTGTAAGGATGAGAAGTTCCACATATGAAATCCCAAGACACAAACGAGTCCTAAATGAAATATATTAGCATATATAGGCATGGATTTAGTGTTTTAAACAACTAAAATGCTAGGAAACACCCTTAGGGACTTGGACTAAGTGTTAGAATCACATGTGATTCATCAAAGGGGTGTTTACGGCCACCACTTGGTGTTTACGGCCATGGAGTGTACAACCATAAACTCATGGTAAAATGTGCACAAGAGGGTGATTAAATGATAGGGAAGCTTGTGGGACTATTGCTCAACAAGAATAGGAACTAGATTCTCACTTTGGAGGCCCTTTTTGGGGTGTTTGAGGTGTGTATGGTCATGCAAGGGTGCACGGCCGTACACTCCTTTTGTTCCAGCCAAATGTCGTTTTTAAGGTGTTTAACAAGAGATCCTAACGTGTACTAGGCATAAGGGAAGGATACTTACGATTTGGAGGCTTGAAGGAGGGTTGACGGCCACCAAGAACAAGTGTGTGTTCTTGGTGAAAAATGAAGATCTTGAAGATCTACCCAAAAATATGATTTCCATGGATGAAATCAAAGGATGATGCATGATTAAGAAGGATAACAACTCACAGATGGAAGAAACACTTACGTTTTTGAAGATCTAGGACGAAGAACTCGATGATACTTGAGAGAGAATCAATTTTCTAGACTTGGAAGTGTGAGAAGTGGTGAAAAGCGAAGGAAAAGCATGTATATGGGTGGAGTTTACAGCCGCAAACCCCTTGTGTGTGGTCGTAAACTCCTTGTGATGGAGTTCCGGTTCGATTGCAACCCGATGAACTTAAGCTGTCAAACCTACACCCAATCCTTAAATGTACTACGCTTAGAACCCTCAAACAGACCCCTAACAATGCTAAAAGATAGCATAAACAAGTCTAGCATTTGATTGGATTGATTGACTTTACTGGATGGAAATTTTTGGGTTGTCACAAATATAAATTTATAATTCTAAAATTTATACAAGGCGGGTTATAAACGGAGCGGATCAATGATTATCCATACCCGACCCTTTTAATAAAAGTGTTAGCGGGTACGGGTCGTTAACGGGTAAACGGATCAAAAACTATGCTCCAAACTCATATAATTATTAAGGGTTTGAATCGAATTAGGGTCAAAATCCGCTCCATTGTCAGGCCTACCCCTCCTACCCAATAAATGAAAGCTTTTTGCCACATGTCATCACCTAATTCAATATGCCACATGATATTTTTTTAATTTTTTCAATTTCATTTATATCCACTTGCAAATTGTTGTTTTTTTGGATTTGTTATTAAATTATAAAAAAAAAAAAATAATCTAAAAATATAATAAAAAAAATAAGAAAATTTAAATATCTCCATAAATTCTCATGTAACTTATCAATTAATGTATTAAATTCAATTTAAATTCAAACCAACATTCTTAATTGAAAAATATCATTTTCGGTCAATTCATTCTAAATTCATAATAATTTACAAAAACCTTGCAAAAATTGGTTTATTCACAGCTACTATTGGTATTATTTTTAAATTTAGTTGTGTAAATTATTAAAATAGTAATGTTTAAAAAAAAAAAAAAAAAAAAAAAAAAAAACCGTAAATATGATAAAAATAGGAAAAGGAAAACTAAAAGGTAAGGTACGGCGAGTGACTGAACAATGAACAAACAGTGTCCAGAGTCGGGAAATATGCTGTCCAGCAACTTCTACGTTACGACAGCAACCAACAAAATTCCTATTTGCACGCAATTTGTTATTCATTTCATTTGAGAAGCCCTTTTTCGATCTCCCCTTCAACCTCGATCATGGCGGAGGTTTCCTATCTCCATCTTCATGAAAATGATGATGAAGATGGTGAATACAACGACAGGGACGAGGTCGTGGTGTCTTTTTCTTCCCACAATAACTGGTCTCACGGTGTCGATGCTTTCGATGTTTACCCTTCGGATCTAGATTGTCCTTCCTTCGACGATTTCTTTTGCCACACCGATCGAAACAACGATTCGGTGCTGTTCGACAGAGAATACCAGGTGAATTTTGTAATAGACATGTTTCATCAGCGAGTTGAACAGTCGCAGTCGCAATCGCATTTGGCTATAGGGAACGGCTTCTGTAATCCTGATCGGAGTACTCGGCAAGGGAATGAGGAGATGGATGCGAACGATTTAGAGCTGGAGTTTGGGTTAGGGTTAGATTTTCCTGTTGAAGTTAATGATAATCGTAATGATGGTGACGATAATTTAGGGTTTATGCTTGGCGATTGTGGCGATGATTTCATCGTACCCAGGAGAACAACGGGAGATCCGTCTAGTCGTTCAGGTGGTCCGGAACATTTGATGGTGCCTGATTTGGGGTCGGATTCCTATGTCGACGGGGGAAACGCACTTGATTTCGGGATCAACGAATCTAACCTTCGGTTAGAAGATTTTCAGCTAGAAGATGACAACGAAAGAGGTGAAACCAATCCAAATGAAGATTTCGAATGGGAGGAAGTAGATGGCCGGATCGACGACCGGGAAGTACTGAATATGATGTTCGAATCAGAACCCGACGATGACACATCTGATCTTCCAAGAACTCATCCCGATAGCCATGAATATGAAGAAGAACAGCCGCATCAGTGGGAAGTTTTGTTGAATGTCCACAATCCAGATTTAGAACCAGGTACATATGATGATGAATCGAATTACACAGAGTACGAGATGTTTATAGACCCATCTTCTTTTGGCCGGCCACCTGCTTCCATGACGGTGGTGAAGAATCTTTTATCGGTGGTGATAACCGATCAAGATTTTGAAAAGAATAACATCCGGTGTGCAGTTTGTAAAGATGAAATTGGTGTTGGGGTAATGGCAAAGCAGCTCCCCTGTGGCCATCGTTACCATGGCGATTGCATTCTTCCATGGTTGTGCATCCGGAATACTTGTCCTGTTTGTCGCCATGAGTTGCCGACTGATGATCCCGAGTATGAACGTAGGAAGGCAGAAAGAGGTGTCAGTGATCAGTAATTGATGGAATCATGGAAAAGGTGAGATATGATTTTGGAGTTGTACTAATTATTAGGGTGTAAATTGTACAGATTGGTCATGTGTCTTTGTGTGAATTAATTATTTGATTGTTTGATTGGTAGGTTTTGTCTTTGAATTGAAATCTGGATCAAAGATGATGGAGATTTGTAGTGTAAAAATATATATGTATATGATTTTTTTTGTACATTATGAATAATAGTGTTAACACTCAACACTATTGGTATTATACTTTTTGAATTTTAGAAGTTGTTACCTGTTAATAAGTCAATTAAGAGACTATATCTTTTCAAAGGAGCCAAGCGTGAGAGAAGGAGAAGGACATCACTATGCAATTGCAAAGTCCTTTTATTTGTATTGACCTTGTATAAAACATAAAAAAATATATATCTTAAACTTAAATTACTTTTGAAGCATTTGTAAGAAAATTTCTAATTTTTATCATTCATAACTTTTTCCAACATTTATAGGTTGCCACCAGCAGTCCAACACCACCTGAATATGTTTTACAATAAATATTACAAAAACTGAAGATAAATAAATCTAGTCAAAATGATACATCATCAACAGCCAACACCCTTTCACAGGTAGCAAGATTTAGATGTAGCAAACATTAAACTAGAAAGTAGAAACCCAACCCAACACTGGTAACTATAGAAGTGAAAAGTGTAGTATAAGTTATAATTTAATGGGAGAATTTTGCAATCAACTTATCAACATGAATAACAATGTCATTTATGCGAGGTCGAACTGTGGCTTGAGGCTGCAGCATCCATGACACAAATTGATGAAGAGCATCCGGATATGATTGTTTAGGATTAAGTGTTGTTGTTGGCCACTTGATCTGTGCATTCATCACAGCCAACTGCAAGCTTCCTCCTGACTCCCCTAGTGCATACTCAAATGGAGAAACACCATACCTGTTCCATATATATATTATATTATATAAAAGAAACAATGACTTAATAGATTAAAGGAGAAAAGAAACAGGGCTTAACTCAAATAACTTACATTATAGCATACAGAGTGCAACCCAAAGACCATACATCAGTCCTTTCATCAATGTCAGCTTGACTTGGGCAATCCCACAATTCAGGAGATCTAAAAGGAGCTGAAACATGTTCAGCTGCCCATTCCTAACAAACAGATCATAATTCAAAATTTCAAATACTTCCAAAACATAAAAAGAAGAGGGGTAAAATAGGTAATAGAAATTAGAAAGAACCTGCAGCTGGAGGGCCTCTGATCGAGATCGGATCTGCTTTATAGCAGGACGAGCACTTCCAAAATCCATCAAAACAGCCAATGGTGGCTTCCCTTTACGATGTGTTAGAAGGACATTTCCCGGTTTCACATCATTATGTGCATATGGAGTTTCAAGACTATGCATATGCTCAAGTCCTGCACAAAGCTGCAACCCAACTTTTTTTTTTCAGACTCTGTACTTGATTTACATCTGACATGATAGCCTTTGGGATAGAATAACCCTTTTGGGGAAACATACCAAATAGATAGTATTGGGTCTTAATGTATAAAGATCTTGAGTTACCTGACGAAAAATTTGGAGAACATCAGAGGTGGAAAAGAACTCCTTCTTGAATTTCATGGTTTTTGCATTGTCCAGCAATGTTCCATCCATATGGACTGGAAATAGCAGATACGCTTCATGTGTCCAATTCTGTTCTGGTGTGCCCTAGCCAAGTACACAAAGTAAAACCCCTTAAGCCGATACAATCTTTTAACAAATTATGTAAGATCAATGATAATGGAGATTATGATATTGTTTGGAAGTAAAAAGATTTAGTGTGATGTAAGATCTGAGATGTGATCCGCATATACCTTTACTGAAATAATGGCGTGATCAAGTAAGGGAAGCAGATTTGGGTGGTTAAACAAGGACGAGATACGGATCTCCTCTTTCACGAACTGCAACTGCTCGTTATTCTGAATCAGGACTTTCTTCATAGCATAAGTTCCATCATCTGCAGGTAAAAATCATTTCCTTTACAAGCTCACAAGTCACAATTAAATTTCATGATATCCCTACATTTTCCCTGCTTAACAATTAATTCGCCACATTTTACTTGATTATATGAATCTATGATTAAGAAACCACAGAATCGCAATGGGCAGATTGTAGAAAACATAAACGGAAGTATCAATTGGGGATCTATGATCATACCAGAGATGTGAGAAGGATCTTTGAATTTCTTAGAGACGCCACCATCGGAAGTGTCATTAACAACTTCCTTAACTAGATACACAAAGGCAAATCCACCTTCACCGAGCTGCCGGATAACTTTGAAGCGATTTTCGTTGATCCAAACATCGCCAGCAGTAGAATCGTATAAGGCGTTGAGTCCCGAGAAAGAGCACCCCATTTTCTACCCTTGTCAATGGCAATGCTCTCTGTAATGCAAATCCCCTTCTCTCACACACAGTTCTCTCTCTAGATTGTTTTTCTTGTAGAATGAATGAATTTTTTGGCGAAACGGATCTGCCACTAATATCGGGAACGAAATTGATGAGTAGAGTGTTTCTATCTCTAGAAATATGGTCAGCTTAAAGGGGAATTCTGTAAATCTTAGACGATCGTAACCATGGCTGAGATTTGTAGAAGAGAAAAAAGAACAACACAAGATCCAAGATTAAGCTCGATTTAAGCCCCGTAGCAGCTGATCCCCTTGAACCAAGCAAATGTCAACTCTGCATCTGGGCACCGACTAAAATGAAAGTGTGAATCACGTAAAATGTTATATGTTACAATTTTCATTTTTAGTCCTTCACATTTAGTTTTTACTGAAAATATCCTAAAATGAAACTGTTCATGCAATTTCGTCACACACACGTTTTCTTTCTCTTATCAAATGGTAACAGCATCAGTCAAAAGTCAAAAGACGTTTATGTGACTGTAGAATAACTTTATTTGAACGTTTGTTGTTAACTTTTTTCAAATTTTCACCCTTATTTTTTTTAGAATTTCCATTGCTTGTGTTAAATTTCCGAAGTAACTTTACTTACGGGATATATGCAAGCAAAAGTTAATTTTTCGAACAAAATTTAGTCCGTGAACAAATGTGGTGCTTAATCTCTAATGGTCTTCCGCAAGAGTTAACTTGTCAATCTCTTCTTATTCTAAGAGGAGACAATGTCGATGCAGGGATACGGGAAAGTTGGTGCGGGAAGCACGGTACCGTCGGGATGGTGGTCCCGATATTGAGCCTTTGCAGCTTCCCCTTGCTTAGCTTGCTTTGTAAGCGTTGGGCAACAATCCAATTTTTCAAACCACTCGCAACTATTACTTTTGTTTTGTTTTAATATTAAAAACACAATGTCATATTCATCTTCTCATTTTATCACACAACCACCTTCCTCACTTTTTCATTCATCCTCCCAGTTTATACCGAATGGTTCTAATACGTGTTAAAGCTAAAAGTACGGGTACAAACCAAAAGACAACTCACATTCTGGGTTCATAGGATCCACATACTCCCAACACTCGGTTCCCCTAACTCAATATCTATAATACCTGCATTATCAAAGTCATTTTTTCAATTTTCACAATTACTACAATTCTCGATACAACTTCAGGTTCACAATATCTACATACTCCCAACACTCAATTCCCACAACTCAATATCCACAATACTAGCAATATAAAAGCCAAATTTTGTAATTACTGCAATTCTCGATACAACTTCGTGTAACATTCATAAAATTCTCAAAAAATTTAAACTTTTGAAATTTACTTAAAACCATCATTGTTTACAAATTGTTTCCAAAATAAGTTCAACACCAAAGAAACCCCCCACATCGTGAAATAAAAACATGAGGACGTGCACGATCACACATTCGGCTTTTCACGATCCTCTGAAGTACATGAAACATAATCCAAAACTGTAAGCCTAAAGCTTAGTGAGTTTCCCCCAAAATACCTACACAACACAAAACCAGAATAATACAATAAATAGCATACATACAGAGCATTCAGTCTGACTGGAACGCCCCACTAGCCTACAGTTTATCTCGTACGCTCAGAGAACCTACAGGATGATTGGTACACCACCACGAGCCTTCAGCCTATGTGGAACATTCCCCGGGCCTTCAGCCTGACTAGTACGTGATGAGTTTGAGCCAAAAGAACATCCTATGTGCTCATGCAAACTGTAACACCCGTAGATCCGGGCTAGACAATTTAGAGGTAATATGGGTCGAAAACGAATTTTCGAATGACAATTTATGTAGAACTGTATCAAAACTGTATCAAATCACATTTATGAAAAAATAAAAACATCTCCCAGGACAACTGAAACTGTGGTGTATGCGATGCCATCAACCCGAGCTCTTCCCTTTGCTTGCGGAAGTACCTGAAACCAAAACTGAAACTGTAAGCACGAAGCATAGTGAGCTCCCCCAAACTACCACATACCATACAATACATATAAACACATACTGGGCCTTGCCCACTGCATCGGACCGAAGTCCGGAACTAACCAGTGCCTTACCCTCTGCATCGGATCGAAGTCCGGAACTACTGAGGCCTTGCCTCCTGCATCGGACCGAAATCCGGAACTAACTGCATCGGATCGAAGTCCGGAACTAACTGCATCGGACCGAAGTCCGGAACTGACTGCATCGGACCGAAGTCCGGAACTGATTGCATCGGACAAAAGTCCGGAACTACTGAACATAGCATAACATAAACATATCAACTAGCATGAACACATAAACTGCATACTGCATCGGGCTGTAACCCAGAACACATAACACATAAATCCTATCTGAGCCACGAAGGCATCAAACATACTAAAATCTGCATCGGACCGAAGTCCGGAAACTACTACTAGCTAAACGGGTCGGCATTGTGGCCTTAGACCCGTTCCTACTGGAAGGAAACTCACCTCGTGATCTGGCTGCTGAGTGTATGGCTCTGGAAGCTATCTGCTGCTACTCCGGTATCTCCCCGGCTACAATTCCACAAATACACTCAATCAAATACTAATAATTGCATTGGGGTAAAATGACTCTTTTACCCCTGGCTAAAGTCAACTCTCCTGGTCAAAGTCGACTTACAGTTGACCTGACTCGCCGAGTTGGGCCGCCAACTCGCCGAGTCCCTACTCTCATTTCTCAACCCTGCTTGCTGCTACTCGTCGAGTATGGCATAAACTCGACGAGTTCCCATTCGCTTCTATAACTCAGGCCATCTGCATCCGACTCACCGAGTTGTATGAACAACTCGACGATTTGTTCTTGAATCTAAGAAGATTGTCTTAGACTCGCCAAGTTGTATGAACAACTCGTCGAGTCCCTCCATTACTGAGTCTAACCTCCGACTCACTAAGTCCATTTTACTACTCACTGGTCCCCACTCGGAATCACTCAAAGGGGAAAAATCGGGGACTCGCGACCCGACTCGCCGAGTCCGAAGAACGACTCGTCGATTCACATGCATGCAGTTACTAAAAACTCGATTCTCCTCAAAACCACTGCATATAATTTATAGATCTGAGTTTCTAAGGCTGGTTTACCATGTAAAGTTTCCAACTTTACGTGTACATATGCATGAAAAAGGATATAAAGGCTAAAAAGGCACTTAGAAGAGTAGATCTAGGGCTATCATGCAAAATGGCTCCATAAAGGTGATAGATCTATGTTTTTGGAACTGAAACATGGCTAGATCCGAAGGCTAATCAATCTAATGTGATCTCTCTACTATGAACAAGCTAAGGAATGGATAAAATGGCCTAAATATGCTTATGAAAGAGAATCAATCATAGAAACAGAAGGAATCTGATTATTACCTCAATAAACTCTGAAATGGGTGCAAGACCTTGGATCTTCTTCTTCTCCTTTGGATCTAGCCTCCTTCTTCTCTTCGAAACTTCAAGATTCACACAAGAAATGCTCAAATACTCAAGGGAATGGTTAGGGTTTGCTAAATGATGCTCTGAGGGTGAAGGAGACGAGTTTGGGGCTCATATGATGGTTTAAATAGGGTGCAAACCCGGGGATTTAGGGTTTCTACCTGGCAGGCGGAGTCGTCGAGTCCTGAATATGGACTCGCCGAGTCGTCGATCTAAACGCTGCTCAAGATCCCGTCTCTACTCGACGAGTCGGGCAATAGACTCGCCGAGTCCCTCTGCAAACTTCTAAATAAATAATATAAAAAAACATACCATAGACGGGTCGTTACACAGAGCCGATTTTGCACCGGTTATTGAGGTGCAACAGTTAGTGAGGGGGTTTTAGGATCTTACTCAGACTACAGAGACAGTGGCAGAGATTACCGCCAAGTTCAAGGAGAGGGCTCTTCTTGTTCCTCACTACGCAGTTGATGAGGAAATGAAGAAGGCTCATTATCATGAGATGTTTCGGAGTGATATCCACCAGTTTGTGAGTCGGTCCAGCTGTAAAACGCTGGATGACATGATTGCTAGGGATCGTAAGAGAGATTGATTTAGAGATGGAGAATAAGAGGAAGCCAGAGGCGGCATCTAGCACTGGGAGTTCAAGAAGAAAGCCCAAGGTATCCGATCATAGATCCAGGGGTCAGCAGAGCCACAGTCGGTGTGGCAAGTGTGGGAGATTGCACGATGGAGTGTGCAAGGCAGGAAGTTCAGGCTGCTACAAGTGTGGTTAGACAGGGCACATGCACAAGGATTGTACAATTATTACCAGTACGACTCCCACCTCAGCAGCTGATCTGATTTGCTTTCATTGCAATCAGAGGGGACATAAAAAGTCCCAGTGCCCGAGTTTAGCAGCAGTGAGGAAGGTGGCGGCAGCTGCCCCTGCTACTTTGAGGATTACAGACGCCCGACAGGGTCGGGCTGAGACGCCAGTGGCAAGAGTATAACTTTCCAGATGAAAGCATAGGAGGCTCGAGCGACTCCTGATGTGGTGACGGGTATGTATTTTCCTCTTACCTTATATTTGTTATGAATTGTTTCTTATGGTTATATGTTTTATATAGGGTCGTTCTTAGTGAACGGCATTTCAACTACAATATTGTTTGACTCAGAGGCTACCCAATCATTTGTATCGCTTACGCTTAGCAAGAGGTTGAGCAGAGCTCCGGGGGAGCTGGATTGTCCACTTGAGGTTGAGATAGCTGATGACAGGACCGTCAGGGTTGCAAGAGTTCATAAAGGGTGTTCTCTTCGGTTATTCAATGAGCAGTTTTTGGTAATTCTGGTTCCTATTCCCCTGCGAGGGAACAAGGTTATAGTGGGTATGGATTGGCTGAGCCCTAATGGGGCGATGATTGATTGTGAGCTACAGTTAGTGAGGGTTCGCACTCCCAGTGGGGGAGAGTTAATGATTCAAGGCGAGGGGCCATAGCGCGAGCTGATTCTTTGTTCAGCAGCGAGAGTGAGGTGCTACTTTCAGTAGGGTTGCGCGGGGTACGTCGCCTATGTTTTAGATGCCCAGGAAAAGGGAAAGGCGACAGTCGACAATGTACCGGTAGTGCGAGACTACCCGGATGTATTTCCATAGGATTTGCCTGGGATACCTCCTGAGAGACAGGTGGAGTTCAGGATTGATCTAGTCCCTGGTGGAGCTCCGATAGCCAAGGCACCATACCGATTGGCTCCTCTAGAGATGTAGGAGTTGTCTACGCAGGTGCAGGAGCTGTTGGACAAGGGTTTTATCAGGCCGAGCAGTTCACCATGGGGATCCCCGACCCTGTTTTGAAGAAGAAGGACGGGTCGTA